AGATCGTTGAATTGCTCTTAGAATCAGCCGGAAATAAGAAAAGATGCATAAAACTGCCCTCTGGGTCCTCTTGTCTGGACTGGAGTTGCTGAAACAGTTGCTCAGAAGAGGGCTTCCATCTCCCTTGACCAGACCGTGTTGCAGGGATGGAATCCAGGGATGCAGAGAGCCAAGAATGGACCTGCCATCACATCATTCACTGGACTCTTCCCACATCGGCTGCCGAGGCTCGAGTCCTTGGCCAATCCTCACTGAAGTCCAACTGCCCCCCGCCCCCACAGAAGGCCTAATCAGGGAGCGAAGCAGATCCCTCCTTCAGCCCATCTCCCACCCCTACAGCTTCCTTTTGAATAAATACACTCTCTTTGTCCTGTTGTCAAGCTCCCTCTTCAGTAGAGCCTCCAGAAACTTTGAAATGGGGTGGCTGTTGAGTCCCCCAAGAAATACCAGGCTCCCTCTTCCAAACTCCTGCAGGCCAGCAGCCATGGGGAATAGAATAGGTCAGTGGTCCATGCTGAGTAGACAGAGAGCAGGCCCAAAGGTGCTGGAGTTGATTCCAGCAGCATTCCAGCCCCCTTCAAGACCCTCTGGCTCAAACCTGAGATGGTTGGCCAGTTGAGGGTGGAGGGGTTCCCAAAAGAACTAACACTGGTTGCAAGTCTATTGCCCACTCTGTGCTCTGCCCCAGACGCTGTGCTGAGCTAAGTATTCCTTTTTGTTGGGGAGGGGAGGTAATCAGGTTTATTTATTCTTTTAATTTCATGGAGGTGCTGGGGATTGAACCCATGACTTGTGCATGCTAAGAGTGAGCTCTACCACTGAGCTACACCCTCCCCACAAGCTAGGCATTCTTCATCTCCTATATGCAACACTATTCTAAGAGGCTCGTGTTATCCCCTTTTACAGATGAGGAGATGGATGTTTGGAGTTAAGATGCTAACTTTGAGAAGGTAACCCAGCAGGTGAGTGGCAGGGCGAGAATTCCAACTGAGATCCACCTGGTCTAAAGGTTGTCTTTGTGTTGAGTTTCCCCGTTTCTGAAATTTATTCCCCCACTCCCCACAGGCCAGATCATCCGGCTGTCCCTGATATGGTGTGCTTCCCTCTTCATGCTGACTCAAATCTCCTCCTCTCTAGACTCAGATAAATGCATCTTTTTTCTTTATCAAGCCCAGCTAAAGCTCAGCCCTACCATTAACGTATTAGTACTGCTCAGTCTCTGATAAACAGCATCCCCAGATTCACTCAGTACCTAAGTATACGGGCTCCCCAGTGGGGCCTGGAGTGGGGAGCTGATTGCAGTGTCCCCAGGTGAGGCATTTCAGAACTCCAAAGTAAAGAAGGGTAAGTGTGCTCTGAACACAGAATAGTTTATAATTGTTTTGACTTTCTTGGTCATCATCATGTATCATAAAATATCAGACATTCAAAGATAGCATGAAATTATCATATTTACCAAAAGTGAGCATGCGTTTTAAAAAGTTGGTAAAACACTGGTCTCTGCGGTTATGGGAATTTATAGATTTTTTTTCCACACCCTTTTAATATTTTCTTCCTACGCTTGTCATACCAGCCTTTATCTGGACCACAGAGGTCTTGGATGGTAGCAGTTGATTGTGAATTCTTCCTCCCTTGTGTTTCTGTCCATGGTCTTTAACCAGTGGACACTCTACCAAGAGGTCACCCAACCTACTGTCTAACACGGTTCATTTTCATTCTCCAGGGACCTGTTTTGCTGTTCAGTCACCTTGACCCCATCTAAATAGAGGACAAGGATCTGGGTTGGTTTTCAAATAAAAGTAGATGATTTGAAGGAAGGGAGAGGAGACTGATGGAACCAAGAACAGAACAAGAAAATGTCACTAACTGGAACTCACCATCTCAGGAGGCCTGGGCTAGAATTTGGCCTTTGAACTCTTTGCTGAAAAATTACTCTCTTAGTTAATTCACAGGAGTGGCAGCAATTGCCCTGGAACATTTCATCTCCCTGAGAAAACAGCCTACTGCCATGCCCCCTAAAGCATATCAAAAAGAAAGGAGGACTGTTTAAGAGCCTACTGTGTGCCAGGTTCTAGTCACACATTATTTCAGAATCAATGCGATTCAAACAACCAGTTGGTTGTTCTTATCTCCTGCGTTCATCACAGCAAGGTTTTCTTTTAGGCACTACCTTGATGGTCTAATTCTACATATTGTCTAGACTTGAATGTTTAAGGAAATGTTTTCAGCTGAAACTGGCCACCCCTCCCAGTTGTTGGGGTTTCTGCAGAAAGACTGTACGGCGAAACAAGGTGCGCTTGCTTCCTTAGACAGATGATAAACTTCTGGGAGTGGGGAGGTGCCAGGAGGTGGCAGGGGAATGCAGCAATACAGGTTGAAAGGAAAATCCAGATCTTTGGGAAAAGAACGCGGAGTGATTCAGGTTGTCACAGGAGACCTCTGAACTCCACTCTGTGGAACCCTGGTGCATGCTCGATCCATCCATGCCAAGTCTCTCTTCTCCAGCTTCTTCCAGACTCCAGTCACAGCCACCACAAAGGAAACTGAGTTTGAGTTGTGAAGCTTGGATTCAGTTCCTCATCCAAGGGGAAACTAACCGGAAGTGTCATTTATTGAAATCCATCTCCCATCAAAGAGAAACTGCTTCTGGAAGAGAAAGCATCGTGGAGGTTTATTTAGAATCATAGAAAGGTAGCCTGGAAGAGTAAAGCAGTTACATCACTAGTGCAGAAAGTAAGGTGTGGGGTGCCACAAAAGTGACTTGTCCGAGGTTGACATAGTTTTATCAGGGGCGGACCCCAGCCAGGACTCACGTGTCCTACTGCCAGTTCACCTTTTAGCAGCCAGAACAGACCCGTCAGCGCGCACGCGCAC